TTTCACCGTATATAGTAGGGGAATTTACCGTTAACCATTTAACAGGTTTTTACTGTAGCATTTTTACAGTCTTTTACCGTTAAATTCACGTTCATTTTTTACAGTGTATTTTGGTTTACGAAATTGAGCAAAAACCAATATTGTGTCAAATGTAAGTCACTTAATTTTAACTTCTTGTTTATTGAACTACTATTGTATAAAATCAGTGTCACATTGCAATTATGTTGATATTCAGAGAAACATCTTGGTCGTGTGATGTTACTTATAATCTAAAAAAAAAAAAAATCTACCGCAGTATGCATCTATAACTTTCTGTGAGTGCTGTTACTCTCATTTATCTTGATTTCTGGCATGACGTCAATAAATTATCAGTCGCGTTTACACTGAATGCAACAAAATCAGAATCATTCTCACATAAAAAAAATTTTGGTGAGTGGAGAAAGATATATCCGAAGAACAAATTCAGATTAGTTAACTAAAGAATCAGTGTTTATTCATATTATTGCTCCAGCCGGTTATCAAGACAACAGTGCTAAACTAAATGAACTTGAATATTAACGTCAATGACCTGCATGTAAACACACTTTATATAAACACTGACTGATTGGCACAAATGCTGCTCATTGCCAGTAAAAGCATGTGCCCTTTGAAACAGCTTCGCTTAGTTACTTTTTTTGGTAACACTTTATAATAACTTACATTAATAAATCATTAACAGACATTATTTTTTGCATAACAGGTCATTAGTTAACTCTAACCATCCCATAGTAACATTCATCTTCATGTCCTGTAGTGTTAAACAGGTGCAGCTCTCTGGAGATACCTGGAATTAAATAACTAATGAGTAATGATCAGTCACCAGCTTACATGTTTAACCACTAAGCCACCACATATAAATCTAATAGATTCAATGTCCAACTTACCCTGAGACTAAACCCTGCGGTGTATGTTCCAGTTGGGCACATGTAAACCCTCCATGACCCCCACTCCATTCCATTGGACACATTCAGCTCTGATCCATAAAACCTATCGACGCTTCGCTCAGAACGTCTTCATGTGGACTGCACACTCACCTGCAGCCCAATTATGACTAACAGTAAAGAAATTAAGTGATGCAATGTTGCAGCACCGGTCTGATGGATTAAAACAGTGGTGAAATTAATTATTCTTGATTTCAACACCAAAAACTGATCCAGGGTCAGTAAAACTGTTTAAAGGAACAGCTGCCTGATTCTTTCAGAGCTGCTTCAGAATAATTTTATACAGTTTATAAATATTGTGATATCCTGGTTCTAGCCAATCAGCAGCAATGTCAATGACATGTATGTGTATATATATATATATATATATATACAGTATATATATTGTATATGAAGAGTTAATTTGCCAATACAGATAACTTGTTTTTAACAATTCCCAGAAAACACGTTTTTTCATTGTGCATTCCAGTTAATCTCAATCAAACTGCAGTTGGGTTATTTAGATTAGTTTAAAAAATAACTAAAAATTACAGCTAACTAACACAATAAAAACATGATTATATAATAAAAAACATGATTTTTGAAAATTTTAGAGAGTTATCTGTTTTTGCAAATAAACTCTTCATTTATATGTAAACATCTGTATGCTTAACCTTTAATGTCCCTGAAAACTTTATTTTTTTTGCTTGGTAAAATGCCTATAAAATGTTGAGTTGCTTGTTTGATTTTGTATTTTTAATGAGTTAAATATTAAGCATGCACTGCAACACAGAGAATAAAAGACCAACCTTAAAATGAATAGCAGGTGACACCAGCGTCACCTTGATGTAGCCTACCAAGTGCTGTGCAATAAATAAATAAATAATTAAACAATAACAGAACACACAAACAATAGCAGAACACAATTTATAGATCTGCTCATATTAAAAACTTTTGAGTGGTAGTGTATATGTATAATGTCACCATGTTTGCTCTGTCTTTGTCCGATCATTGTGTTGCTCACATCCATTTGTTTTCTCGTGCAGTTTCTGCTGTCTCCCGTTTTTCCTGCTGTCAAGTTTCCTGCCACTGTTTTGGATATTTTGGATATTGCACCCACGACATCTTGACTCTTGTGCTGTTTATTTGTTTGTTTGTTCCTAACAACTGTTTAACTACACTCGCAAGTGAATATCAAGTAATTTTGTGTGATAGTTAAATATATTCTTAATAAACTACAAACAAAAAAATATATAAATTACATTTTTCCTCACATTCTTTCTTGTAGCAATTCCCTCTCAGTCACATACCTGACTGAATGGCTCATTATGCAGCTCATTATGTGGGCCTTTGTCTTCTCAGGTGTGAATCACACTATTAGGCTATTCATGATCATTCACGCCTCCTCTCATACAGCTGTTCTATACAAAAAGTGACTTAGAAAATTTTAATGAATATATTGTTTTCTGTGAAAGAGTGAACAGGATAATTTTCACATCATTTTGAAACAAAAATTCTAGGCTACAAGATCCAGTTCTCAAAAGTATTGTGAACAAATATTCTGTATGTGCTTTATGGCCTTATTCAAGTGATTTAAAAATGTTAGTTTTTCACTAACCACGCATAAACATTGCTTTCTCAAAAACACAATCATGTACATACATGCTGCTCACATATTATTGTAGCCCAGTTGGTGCCATTTTGTTTTATTAGACTTTGGCCATTTATATGTTTACAAATATGCACAAATATCAGGGCATGTCAAAACTTCTCCAGGGCCTCAAAACACCCTCAGAGCCCCAGAGGGTTAATTACAATGTTTAATTGTTTGGGAATTGAGGATACTAATTGTTAAAGTTCTGCCAGCAAAATTCTTGTCCAATCTCACTTGATACAAGACTTCAGGAGCTCAGCAGTCTGTGATTGTTGTTGTCTGATTCTCCTTTTCACGATGAGCCATACTTTTTCAATAGGAGACAGATCTGCTGGCCAGTCTAGCACATTCACTCTGTCTACGAAACCACACTGTTGTAGCACATGCAGAATGAGAGCTGGCATTGTTTTGATCTAATAACCATGGACTTCCCATGAAAGACATCATCTTGATGGCAGTATATATCTCTGTATAATCCCAGTATATGCCTCCATGTCAATTGGTACCATCGCACATACTCTGTTTGCTCTGCTGCGCCCCATACTATGACAGATGTTAGCTTTTGTTTCTGTCACTGATGAAAGTCTGGATGGTCCCTTTGGTTTTTGGGACTGAGAACTCGAAATCCATTTTTCTCGGAAACAAGTTGAAATGTGGACTCATCTGAGTACAGCACAAATTTTCTTTTTGACTATCTGAGATGAGCTCTGGCCCAGAGAACCCAGCAGCATCGCTGCATAGAATTGATGTATAGCTTTCTCCTAGAGTAACAGATATTCAAGTTGCATTTCTTGATGCAGCAGCAGACTGTGGTAAATGACAGTGGTTTTCTGAAGTACTCCTGAGCCCATGTGGCTATATTTAACACCGCAGCATGACGGCTTCTTATGCAATGCCATCTGAGGGCTCAAAGGTCGAACACATTCAAGTGAGGTTTCCTGCCTTGCCCTACATGTACGTGATTTCTCTGGATTCCTTGGATCTTTTCACAATATTATGTATGGTAGTTGGTGAAAGACCTCAATTGCAAAATGTGAGATTTGTTTGTATGACACTTCTCTTGTGAAATTTGGCACCATGTGATGAGCCATTATCCAGCTTTGCTTGCAAAGTCTGAGATGCTCCTTTTATACCCAAACATGATACCCTGACCTATTACCAAGTCACCTGCTTACTGTGAACCGTTTCAAAAGAGTTTAACATGGATATTTTATAACCTTTTCACTTTTATTTTGCCTCTGTCCCAACTTTTTGTGTGTTGTGTGTTGCAGCCGTCAAGATCAAAATTTGTTCATATTTATAAAATACATTTACGTTGGTCAGTGAAAACTTTGGAAATATTTTCTTTGTACTTTTGTCAATTAAATAAAAGTTAAAGAGAATGAACACATCAGACTCTTGATTGTATTGTACTTTACAAAACATCCCAACTTCTCTGGAATTGGGGTTGGACAACTTGATTTCTGAAGTCATAGTAATTTGTACGAAGAAATAAATACACATAACTACAGAATCAGTGTTTATCCATATTATCCTTCAAGAAAATAATGCAAAACTAAATGATTGTTAAAGTCAATAAACCGACTTTAGACAAACGCTGACTATACGGGTCAAATACTGCTCATTGCCGGTAAAGCATGTGCCATTTAAAACAGCTTCGCAGATGTTAACTGATGGACTGCAGTGCTGTGGATTACTTGTGGACTATCGTGATGTTTTTATCAGCTGTTTGGACACCATAAAAAAAACTCCTTTCAAATGGCATTGCTTGGACCTTTTGGGAATTTTTAATTTTGATATTTAATGGGTTCACAGAAATGTAATTATTTATTGTAAAGATTCTTCTCATGCTTTGATATTAAAATTAAAGTTATTGGAAATGTGCCTATTCTCCACAAAGCATTTCTTCATTTTATGATTAGTCAATCATGAGACATAAAATAATGAATGAGATGCAAAGAAATATTCAATTATTAATTACTTCTGATAGATGATTTGAATAGATATTAGGATATAATTATGAAAAATGACAGGTAAGCGGGTTGACAGCTTTATAGATAATGTAGAGTATTGAGTTTATGGATTTGAAATGCATGAACTGAAAAGACACACTTTGCATTGCCATGTAATAAGTGCGATGTACTGTCAGCCTCTGCTTTGTGCTGAGGTCCTGATCACATTAGGCTTTATTTTGTTCAGGCTTTTATTTGGTTAATGTGTGCTTATAACAGTATGCTGATCAATTATTATCCATCTGATCGTCTTGGTCTTCTTGTTGTCGTCCTCTAACACCTGAAAGAAAAGCCAAACTCAGATAAGCCAGCACTAACATCACTGAGATCTTCCAAACAGCTGTGATTCGAGTGTTTGATTGCGTTCACATCACCTTAATCGCAGCAGAACATGCGCACGTCATTGAGAGCGGTGTCGTCTCCTTCTCCTTGTGGCTCTTCTATACGCGACTGGATTCCACAAATCGCTTTTCCTACACATGTATGACTCCATTTGCCCCAATCGCCCCAGTTTGTACCGTCACCCTGCAGTAAAGACCCTCCACTGCATGTGAACCTGGAAGAAATTTGGATGTGACAACATTATGATAAAATATGTTGTTTCAATCAATACTAACAAACAGGGGCGCTGCTAGCAATGTTGGGCCCTATGAAAGAAAATGAGGTTGAGCCCCCTACGGCACCAAACATACAAGCCAACCTAGTTATCCAAAATCTTTGAGCGGTGGGGGATTGTAAACAAAAACCTAATATTAAACAGCCCAAACACTTATAGATCAACATACAAATGAATGAAGATGGCGTTATATAAGAATTAATATATATTTGTGCTTTTAGCTCAATAATATATATATATATATATATGTGTGTGTGTGTGTGTGTGTGAGAGAGAGAGAGAGAGAGAGAGAGAGAGAGAGAGAGAGAGAGAGACATATATATATATATATATATATATATATATATATATATATATATATATATATATATATACTGTATATATTAATATTTGTATTATTTTAACAGGATTTTAGTAAATGCTAACCTCTAAATTATGCACCATTTATATTCTGCAATATCAGGGTGTAACCTCTAGATGGCTGTATAGCCCTATATATAAATACATATAAACCGTTTGTTACTTGAATCAGGTTATTCATTGATATATTTTCAGACATTATTAAAGACTACATTTAGTAAAAGTTGAAATTTAAATGTTGATTTTAAGTGTCAGTTATTATTAAATCTGGACAGGGAAAGCATTTTGTTAGGCTACTCATAGCTACAGCGTGATCAGTCACACGAAAGGGCAATATTTTAAAACATAGAATTGAGTGTTAACATACCATGAATAGAGACGCTCTGTGGTTGAGATGTGTATCCTATTTTTAAAAAAATCTGCATCTCAATCAGCAACTGGTAAATTGAGATTCCAGTAGCTTTACTGACATGATAAAAAGGCTTTACAAAGCATTGACAGCGCTTCAAACCAATGGTGTTGACCATTATCCAATTTAGAGGCTACAATTCATAGTCTTCAGTCACATGACTGGCTCGAAGACCTGTTGGACAAAACATCCACAGAATTGCAGCAAAAGCTCAATTTTCCATTTGTTTCTAATCCATAAATATTTAGATATTTTGATGACCGGACTTACATCTTTGTCGGACTCGAAAACATCTCTAATTTGACAGTTTACCATCTGATCTCACTCAGTGACTAGGCTGCATAGGACGGGACGGAACCATGCAGTGAATGGGGGTGGGGTAATTTTGCCGGATATGCAGAAATAAGCCATAATTTTTTATTTGTAACTCTTTGGTAGATACATTTATAATTTCTATTGCATTACTAGTAGTACTGTTAAACAGATCTCTGGGAGCCCCAAAAGTGCGTGGGCCCTTAGAATTGTCCTAACTTCCCCCCCCTTAGCGGCGCCCCTGCTAACAAAACAAGGCAAAACTCTTGGAACTTGCAATTTGACCAGAGACCTGTAGCACAAAACTGGTTTCAATGGCTACTCAGCTGAGTATTATGAGTTTATTTTGAACAAACTTGAGTGAATATTAACCAAATTATCCACAAATGTTTTTTTTCACTCCAAAACTGAGGTGCATAAGCACAGATCAATGCGGCCTACAATCAATCAGTTCCAAAAAGATTTGGTGATGATAATAAAGTATAATAATGAGTGATTTACAAGCGATTTGTAAAAGACCGGTCATTTTTCACCAAGAGCACCAAATTAGCATTTTCAGCACAGCACAAAAGCACATACTCACGCGATGGTGTTTGCGGCCGTATCGTCACCAGCTCCTTGAGGCTTTTCGACTAACAGCAGAAAAGCATTCAGGAATCCAGAAGGACACCATTTGATATCTGTCCACCGACCCCAGCTGAAGAAAAAATACAGAGTTTTATTGATCAAACCAATCATTATTTTCAAGAAAATTAATTCGTCTAACTTATGAAGAAACGGACTCTTAACGTAACCACAAACCTGCTACATTATTACTCTTTAGACTGAACCCATTACCTGCCTACATCTGACCGAACTGAGCTGTAGTCATGATAGAGCCTCAATAAGCTACTAAGCGCATCAATGCAGTGAAGACGAATCCCGTTGAGTGCAGTGATATCACCCTTTTGAGCATAGGGAGCCTTGTCCACCTTAAAAACAAAGCAAAAACACAACACTAAATTTACAACAACATTTCATATTTTGGATGTCTTTCTTATCTGGCCGATCAATTTCAGGTCTTGAAGTCTCTACTAAAGAGCTGATGAGTTGAATCAAGTGTGTTCAAAAACGTTTACTGTTGGTGTGCTTTCCCTGGACTAACCCAATCCATAGTTACATTCCACTTCATGCTTCTTTAGTATTAAGCAGTCACAAAACTTGAGCAGGTGTTTGAGCAGTTTTCTTCTAAGGGTTTGAACCTTCAACCCTCAGTCACCAGCATACACTTCTCACCATTAAACTGTAAATAAGTCAATTCTTAGCTTACCTTTAGACTGAATCCTGCGGCGTACGTTCCAGCTGGACACATTTCCCTCGGACCCCACGACCCCCATCTCCCTCCATGCGGCACAGTTAGCTCCAATCTGTAATGTCTGTTGACACTTCGCTCAGAACGTTTTCCTGCGGACTCAACACTCACCTGCAGCCCAGTAATGACTAGCAGTGAAAACATCATGGAAATTAAGTGATGCATACTGTAGCTGCAGCACTGGCCCGATGGATTAAAATTAATTAATGGATCAAGCAGACATGGAGAGCTAATGCACTACCATAAAATTCTCAACTTTATTAAGGAAGATGGGTCATATTTATACAACACCGATTCATGCAACAACATACAGGATGCCCTTGGCATCCAATCAAAGTAATCAGAGGTCAAACATGACCCTATATGGATATTAAGAAATATAACAACAATTAAGATGCATGTATGAACATATGTGTGTGCTTGCTTGCCGTTATCATATGGGTGCACCAGTGTGTCCGAGGTCTAGTTCTCGTTTTGTCTAGGTGTGACCATAATGTGCACATAATGAAAGGAAGTTACACAAGGGCAGTCAAAAGTGAAGCTTAAGAAATAAGAAAAACTATATAAGAAAATTATAGTTAGAATAAGAAATAAGAAAATTAACAGTGTTCATATGATTTGCATGAATAAATATTTGCAGAGCAAGCTCAGATCAGTTAACTAAAGAATTAGTTTATTGCATTATTAGTACATTATTGGTCCAGCCCAGTGATCGAGACAACAGTGCAAAACTAAATGACTAAATTAAATTGAATATTGAAATCAATGACCTGTAAGTAAACACACTTTAGATGAACACTGACTGATCAGATCAGATGCTGCTCATGAAAACCGCTTTTCTTGATAGTTATTTTTTTTAAACATTTTTTTAATATTTCATGATGTTCATGATGTTTCAAACAAAAATAGATATAGATAGATAATAGAAAACAGAAATCAGACATTTAAGCAAAAAGAAAACAAAATGGTGTGTCCACTATATATATACTGTGTGTAACTTTTATGCACTGGAAAGATTTCATGGATGTTAAAGATTCTTTATGGAACCATCAATGCCAACAAAGAACCTTTATTTTTAAGAGTGTAGGATATAAATATTTCCTCAGAAAGGTAACAGGTTACAGGGCTGACACTATTACACTTAAATGTAATGCAGTGTTCCTGTAGAGTTCACTGTTGATTTCCAGGAAATGCATGAATGCAGCTGTATATAGAGTAAATAATGCACAAATCTGTACATAAATCTACTGTTCCAGATTCATACACATTATTATTATTTATTGTTGAGTCTTACTATTTAAATGTTTTTCTGTTCTCATGTCAGATGTGTATGTATTTCAAGCATGCATTGCAACACAGAGAATAAAAGAGCAACCTTAAAATGAATAGCATGCGAAAAGCTTAAACAAGAATTGTAAGGAAGCAATTGTTAAAGGAAGTGATTTGCTAAAAATTATTATTCTGTCATCATTTAATGTGCCACATGTGGTTCCAAACCCATATGACTTTAAAGGGGTCATCAGATGCAAAATTCACTTTTACATGTTGTTTGAACTGAAATGTGTGTTAGCAGTGTGTGTACACAATAGAGGTCTGCTACCCGACTCGAGGCCGACGGGTCCCAATTCACTTTTGGGTTTCGGGTCGGGTTCGGGTTAATGTTTAATGAATAGCTTCGGGTTCGGGTCGGGCTCGGGCTCGGGCTCGGGCTCGGGTTTATAGCTAAACTAAAACTATATGTAGTAGCCTAGGCTACGCTGCTTTCATAGACGCACGCACACACAACAACGACAACACAGCACGGAAACTTTTATTAGTAAAATAGCTTCGACAGGCTATTGACTCGCAACTTTATATTTCTCTGCAATGAGGGGGCAAAATCGCTGTTTTTGAAGTAACTAAGCCTCATTGCTTGTAGAGAGAGACGCGCAGACGCAGGTTCACACACACAACTTTCATCCCTCTCTCTCTCTCTCTCTCTCTCGCTAATTCAAATAAATGATATAATTAATTAATATATCATATCTCTCTCTCTCTCTCTCTCTCTCTCTCTCTCTAACTCAAATAAATTATATAATTAGCCTAATTAATTCAAATAAATGCGATCTTACCGCATTGCATCTCTGTGTCTGATTTAAAGCAGGCCGAATGCTAACAAGCCTTAACTGATGAAAATGACCATAATTTGCACGATGGAAGAATAATCGTCTTGCCGTGTACAACCATTCAAAAACTTGGCAGAATTTATGTGACTGCTGCACCTGATGTTCATAAACTTTCATAACTGGTAAGTGTTTTTCCTTTGCCTTGTGAACTGTTTCTTTACATGTATTTGTTTACTGACCGTTGCATGCAATCGTGAAATACAAAGTTAATGCTTTTTAATATTCCCCTTAATCGCATAAACCCAGCACTGCACTCTTAAAAATAAAGTTCCCAAAAGGGGGGTTTCACAGCGATGTCAAATAAGAAGAACCAGTTTTGGCTCCCCAAAGAACCTTTCAATGAACGGTTCTTAAAAGAACCATTTTTTTCATTCGTTTTGTGGAATGAAAAGGTTCCATGGATGGTAAAGGTTCTTTGTGGAACCATTGATGCCAACAAAGAAGCTTTATTTTTAAGAGTGTAAGCGGCTACACCAGGATCTTGAAGGCCTATCGATAATACAGAAGGTGTGATTACCTGCGGGGTCCATGAAAGCCCGTATTCCTAAAATGTTGCTGACGGTGTGAACGGAGGGCCAGGCCCGGGACAGGCTGACAGACATGGCCGGAGGACTGCCCAGTTTGGAGCCAGTCGGGGACATGGCGTTCGGGTAGGAGTACGGATACACGGGGTTATAGGAGATCTGCGGCGGAGAGGGTTTGCTGTCGTACTGACTCGGCTGAGACAGGTTCCCAATCTTGTTTCTTAAAATGCGACTGATGGAGCTGACGGACGGGACGTTATATTTGTCACACACCGCGTCGGCCAGCAGTCTGTCGCGTATTTCCCAAGCGAATATTCCAGGATCGCCCAGTTTGTAATCCCGTATGCTTTTCACCACGTTTGGCGTCGTGACCCGGGGTTTACTCCCACCGATAGCACCGGGTAAAATGGAGCCGGTCTCGTTGTACCTGGCCAGAATTTTGCTCACACAGCCATGAGAGACCCGCAGCTGTCGACTTATATCACACGGCCTGATTCCGAGCTGCGCCAGTTCGACGATCCGGATCCGGATCGCGTTGGGAAGAGGCCGGCCGTTGACAAACACCCCGCCGAGCTGATTGACCTCCCCGTACGTCTGATCTGCAACAACCCAGCACTGTATATTCAGCATATTCCATTTCGAACTAATACAGTATACCATCATTTTTAGTATACATTTTTTTTCTTGCACTATTGCGGCTGTTATGTAAATGAAATCTACACTCAAAATAATAATAGGCCTAATATAATAATAATAATAACATTGCTCCACAATATAACAAAGAATCGTTTAATTAGCCTATCTATATTATTATGAACAAATTTACTGAGTGGTTGCTTTAAAATTAAAGGGGTTTTCTGGCGGTTCTTCTTTTAAAAATACAAATTGGGAAATGTTGAACAAAACTAGTGACAAATGCAGACACTTTTTTTTTTTTAAACATCAAGATTTGTTTTTAAGAGTGAAAGCGCATGGCTCGACTATATGATTTGTTGCTCTATAGGCATCAAAAGACACACGATATTTACACCAAATACATCATTCGAACGGTGTAGATGCATCGTTCTCTCTCAAAAATAAACCAAAACGGGTATTTTCGCAACAATATATTAGAACCATTTTTTTTGTTCCCCAAATAACTTTTTAGTGAACAGTTCTTAAAAGAACTTTTGATGTTCTTTTTTCTGTTAAGAACGTCAAAAGAACCTTTTTCAACTATAAAGAAGCTTAGAACGTAAAAATTTCATGGATGTTAAAGATTCTTTATGGAACCATCAATGCCAACAAAGAACCTTTATTTTTAAGAGTGTAGGATATAAATATTTCCTCAGAAAGGTAACAGGTTACAGGGCTGACACTATTACACTTAAATGTAATGCAGTGTTCCTGTAGAGTTCACTGTTGATTTCCAGGAAATGCATGAATGCAGCTGTATATAGAGTAAATAATGCACAAATCTGTACATAAATCTACTGTTCCAGATTCATACACATTATTATTATTTATTGTTGAGTCTTACTATTTAAATGTTTTTCTGTTCTCATGTCAGATGTGTATGTATTTCAAGCATGCATTGCAACACAGAGAATAAAAGAGCAACCTTAAAATGAATAGCATGCGAAAAGCTTAAACAAGAATTGTAAGGAAGCAATTGTTAAAGGAAGTGATTTGCTAAAAATTATTATTCTGTCATCATTTAATGTGCCACATGTGGTTCCAAACCCATATGACTTTAAAGGGGTCATCAGATGCAAAATTCACTTTTACATGTTGTTTGAACTGAAATGTGTGTTAGCAGTGTGTGTACACAATAGAGGTCTGCTACCCGACTCGAGGCCGACGGGTCCCGAAATACTTTCGGGTTTCGGGTCGGGTTCGGGTTAATGTTTAATGAATAGCTTCGGGTTCGGGTCGGGCTCGGGCTCGGGCTCGGGCTCGGGTTTATAGCTAAACTAAAACTATATGTAGTAGCCTAGGCTACGCTGCTTTCATAGACGCACGCACACACAACAACGACAACACAGCACGGAAACTTTTATTAGTAAAATAGCTTCGACAGGCTATTGACTCGCAACTTTATATTTCTCTGCAATGAGGGGGCAAAATCGCTGTTTTTGAAGTAACTAAGCCTCATTGCTTGTAGAGAGAGACGCGCAGACGCAGGTTCACACACACAACTTTCATCCCTCTCTCTCTCTCTCTCTCTCTCGCTAATTCAAATAAATGATATAATTAATTAATTCAAATAAATGCGATCTTACCGCATTGCATCTCTGTGTCTGATTTAAAGCAGGCCGAATGCTAACAAGCCTTAACTGATGAAAATGACCATAATTTGCACGATGGAAGAATAATCGTCTTGCCGTGTACAACCATTCAAAAACTTGGCAGAATTTATGTGACTGCTGCACCTGATGTTCATAAACTTTCATAACTGGTAAGTGTTTTTCCTTTGCCTTGTGAACTGTTTCTTTACATGTATTTGTTTACTGACCGTTGCATGCAATCGTGAAATACAAATTTTTTTTTTTTTAATTGGCTATTCGTTTTGTGGGGGAAAAAAAAGATTTCGGGTCCGGGTCGGGTTCGGGCTTCAGTTTAAAGCCCGTGCAGACCTCTAGTACACAACCACCCTATAATGATAAAAATCCACCCAGTGTTTTTTTTTTTTTAAATCTCGATAAATCCAAACCCCTTTGTCAAATCAAGCATTTCTCAGATTCTTGCAAGTGTGACGTCACACAGGGCAAGGCCAGGCCCCTCCCATGATAGTTGATTGACACTGGCGTTTTACCTTAGACCCATTCTGAGTTTAGTTAGCAAGTTTCACAATGAATGCGGCTAAAGTTTACAGTCTCTCAGAGAACTGCGTGTCACCCCACATAAGAGAGGGGTGGGGTGAGCAGGGCTCATTAGCATTTAAAGGGAAATGTACCAAAATGGCTCGCTGTAAACAGAGCTGTTTTTGACAGGTTAAAAGGGTGTTATTTTACACTACATTGATAATTTTTAGCCAAAGTTTGTTATAGACTTTTCATTAAAGAATCATATCAACTTGTGGAAAATGGGCATCCGATGACCCCTTTAAGTATCATGAAAATATGTTCATACAACTTGACTGTTGCATTTTTTAAAGTCCTATGATGCCTTGCATGAAGAAATAAATATACGCGAAACAAATTTGGATCAGTTAACTAAAGAATCAGTGTTTATTTATATTATTGTTCCGGCCAATGATCAAGACAGCAATGCAAAACTAATTGACTAAATGAACTCGGCCTAAATTCACTTAAAAAAATAGATTATGTAAAGCAGAAATCAGGCCTTTAAGCAAAAGAAAAAAAATTATATTAATGTGAAGAAAATTAATATATATATAAAAAAAAGGAAGGTAAAAGGTTCTTTATGGAAAAATAAATGCCAACAATTAACCATTATTTTTAAGAGTGTAGGATATAATTTGCCCTCAGAAAGGTAACAAAGTTTATAGCTAACAGGGTTAGTATTACACTTAAATTTAATGTAAAGTTCCTGTAGAGCAGGGATTCTCAAACCTCTCCATGAAGGACCCCCAGCACTGCACTCCCTCTATCTGACACACCCTCTTCAGGTCTTGCAGTCTCCACTAATGAGCTGATGAGTTGAATCAAGTGTGATAGATGAGGGAGACATACAAAATGTGCAGAGCTGGGGGCACTCCAGGACAGATTTGAGAACCACTGCTGTGGAGTTCACTGTTCATTCCCAGGTTTGCTTTGGCATATAAGACATACACGGCCCATTAATTTACTCTTTATAGAACACTTACGATCACGCTGTTGGTCTGAATATTAGTCGTGTAATCACCCGTGTTACAATCTCTTTTTGAATTGCAACAAAATAAGGGAGTCATCACACAAATAAATTACTTAATAATTAGCTGCGGCTAATTAAAGTGAATTTATTTGTCCATGGAAGACAGAACATAGAATGCAAATATGCAATAAGTGTGTAGCAATCATGAAAGACAGCAATCCAACCAAACACAGTCCAAGGACCCTCTAAGAACAGCAACCGTCCCCAAAGGAGATGGATCAAAGGCGGCGGTGATCTCTCGTATCTCTCCCATCTCATCAGTTCTCCAGTAGCCTCATGAGTAACCCAAAGTACAGCGCAAACAAAGACAGCCCAAGCTCAGCCCACACTCACATCTCTCTCGCCAGCTCTGTCCCAGTCTTTTATAGAGCGCCATTATTACATGCAGGTGTGCAACCACTCCCCTCAGCCAATCACCTGCAACTCAGAAATATCCGGTGACTTACAGGCACATCACACCTGCCATGCTTATATTCAGTGATATTACTTAAATTATTTACTGCATGTAATTTTTTTTGCATTGAAATATCAGTTTCAAAATCAGTCTAGAATGCACTGATTTCTACAAAGCCTCTCCTTTCCAAAAATCCCAGAGGGCTCTGATTGGCCAGCTGACCCAGTGCGTTGTGATTGGCCGAACACTCAAGTGTGTGTTGGAAATGTGATGCCTCTTACTGTAAGTTGCAAAAAAGTTTAATAAATAAAAATCAAGGGATATTTATATATGTATGTTCCTGGAAGAAAACGCTCCGGTTACTGACGTAACCTCGGTTCCTTGAGATAAGGGAACGAGCATTGTGTATGGAGAACACTCATGTTTTACTCTGTACTGAAGCCTGATTTGTTCACATTTGTGTAGCTGCACAAACCAATGGTGCTTTAGTCTGCCAGAAAGGGTGGAGCCGACGTGTATATAAGTCGGCTCGCAGTGACATTCAACAGACCATTAAACTGAAGCGACAGTCATTTATTCGCACAGCTTATAGCGCGGCAAGTGACACAATGCTCATTCCCTTATCTCAGGGAACCGAGGTTACGTCAGTAACCGGAGCGTTCCCTTTCGAACGTTCACTTCACGTTGTGTATGGGGAACGCCGTGCTGTGAGCAGATACAGGATCTCCTGCTCTGTGAGCCCAGTCTCGGAGCACTAATAAGGACCCCCAAAAAACCTGAGCACATTGCGCCCCAAGCTGGTAGCTGAGGGCTCTAATATAACCACTTCGCCCGAAGGGAAGAGTGGAACATTAAACAGACAAAACTCGCGCCTGCAAAGCAGGGATGTCTATGTTATAAAATCTGGCAAATGTGGACGGCGACGACCAGCCGGCAGCTGCACAGATCTCACCAATAGATATTCTGCTGGACCACACCCAGGAGGAGGCCATCTCTCTTGTGGAATGGGCCCTCACACCTATAGGGCATTGCAATCCTTCTGATGCGTAAGCTAGGGCTATCGCATCAACAATCCAGCGAGAAAGTCATTGCTTTGTGGCCGGCAGCCCTTTATGGCGGCCTCCAAAGCAAACTAATAACTGCTCCGACTGCCTAAACAGGCTAGAGCTCTCCAGGTATGCTCTCAGCGCCCTCACTGGGCAGAACATGTTTGGGCCTTGCTCACAATCTGTAACAGGGAGCGCCGATAGGGAGATCACCTGAGCTCTGAATGGAGTTGAGAGCACCTTAGGAACATAACCATGTCTCGGTTTTAGAACGACCTTACAGTCATTAGGCCCAAACTCAAGACACGAGGCGCTGATTGACAGCGCCTGCAAATCGCCCACTCGTTTAACCGACGCCAAAGCCAGGAGGAGCGCCGTTTTATGCAATAAGGGCCATAGATTGGCCGAGTTGAGCGGCTCAAAGGGGGGTCCTTTTAGGGCCCGCAGGACTATAGACAAGTCCCAAGATGGCACAGTCTGAGGGCGAGGAGGATTCAGCCTCCGTGCACCCTTCAGGAAATTAACGATCAGGTCGTTCCTGCCGATTGAATGGCCAGGTTCGCTGGTTCGCTGCGATAGCTGCCACATATACTTTGAGCATGGAGGTGGCTCGCCCCCTATCCAGCAGCTCTTGCAAAAAGGTCAGCACGTGGGACACATCACATGATATCGGGTCCAAACCCCGTGCAGAACACCAGATAAGGAAGACCGACCATTTTTGGCTGTAAAGCCATCTTGTAGACGCCAAGCCTGGTTCCTCCAGAGTGGGGCCACTAGGAGGAGAGTGCACTTAGTCTCCCTGACCCGCCTGACGACCTGAGGAATCAGGGCGATCGGGGGAAAAGCGTATAGGTGAGCACTTTGCCAATCGTGGGCCAGAGCATCTCGCTGTATCGAAAAATATGTTGGGCAGTGAGAGTTGTCTTCTGAAGCAAAGAGGTCGACCTCTGCCCTCCCGAAGACTGACCAGATCTCTTGAACCATTGAGTTGGAAGCGTCCGTTGTGACTACCTTCATTACAGCTTCATTTGCTATATTGTATGTGGGTCCACTATCACAGCGGTAAAACATTCGGGTACGCACTGCACCTGCAGGACGTGACTTACTGGAAACGAAACTCCATTGCTCAGAGGTGCTCGGAGGGATAGAGAATGAAAGCTAGCTGTTTTGCGGGGCATTCCGGCCGAAGTGAGAACAGAGCCCCTCCTCCTCCTCTCTAGCGCATCAGGATGGCTTAGGTGGCTCGGGGTCCAGCACAACTCATGGGCGGGGACCTTGACGCTTCGGAAAGGGGAAGCGTTTCGCCGTCCGGGAGCATTGCTGCAGCCCAGGCTCAGATTTGCGTTGGGGCTGAGGCTGCGCCGGCTTTGTAGGCTGAGTGGCAGGGTTCTTCTGGCGGCTCGCAGCCGCGGGGCCAGAGCGCTTGGGGAGGAAGTGACACAGCGCCTGCGACGTCTTCTGAGCCTCCGAAAACCTCTCTGCAAACCTGTCCACAGCGGGGCCGAACAGACCCTTCGGCGAGACCGGTGAGTCGAGGAAGGCCATTTTCTTAGCGTCCCTGATCTCAGTGAGGTTCAACCATAGGTGGCTATATATATATATATATATAAAAAAAATTATATTATGATAAAATTAAATGCAATTAACAAACTAGTGATCATTTTTATTAAGAACTCTTAATAATAACAATATTATTCTATGAAACCTACAAGATCCAATTTGACTTAATTTAGAAAAGTAAATTATGAATGAAAAAAATAAAAGCAACATTTGCACAGACCTCTTTTAACATCCATCGAACCTTTTTTAATGCACAAAACGTTCTTTACAGTGGAAAAGGGTTCTTAAGATGTTACTAAAAAAATGGTTCTGAAAGATTCTTTGTGGAACCAAGAATGGTTCTTCTGAGAAAACACCCACGGAACTTTTACTTTTAAGAACGTTTGTTTATATTGTGATCAAAATTGGAAATTAAACATGTCCGCGTAAATTATGCACATGCTAAAATAAATGAACCGATAGGCCTAAATTAAAAGTTCACCTGGGTGTACTTAATGTCGCTTTCTACTGGAGGTTTGTCGATGCCGTTGACTCCGTGAACGGAAGGAAATGAATGTCTGTTAACGCCCGTCCAGTCCTCCATTTTCGGCTGGTAACTCTCTGTTCCGGCAATAGCTGTAAAAATGTATAAAAATAAAACCCGTTTAAATAGTTGCAGCTGCTGCACGTTAGCAAAAACAACAACAAATAAAATAATAATTGATTATGATTTCAAGATGCAGTCTAACCTTGGAGTAAATCCTAAAGAACTGAACTTCAAATTGGCTCAGTCTGAAAATGATACGGGCTTCTTATGCAAACAACACTGGCCACATTTAGAAATAGAAACACGACAAATGCATTATCAGACTATTGTGAGAGCGATTGTGTTTTTAGTTTATTAAACCAAATTAATTTCAAATGGGCCTCACATTCTGCTCAGCAGAAATCTCACAGTGATGCCTGATGCCATAAGAAAACATTTTCTTTTTATTCTCTGCAATCATGCTTTAAACACTGATCCGAAGAACCAACATCAATCATTTTTTTAATCTCCAAAAAGGAACACATCAAGAGTGCAGAAGCAACGCAACACTAATATTTCAGATACATAAAAGATTCCCCAAAGACCTCACCCATTCTCAATTTCTATGCAAACTCGCTGTCATACAATATTTCGCCAATATTGGAACTTTTGCTTTGGATGACAAACTGGCAAGACATTAAAAATACAATAGCTGATAAATTAATGCTTTTTAATATTCCCCTTAATCGCATAAACCCAGCACTGCACTCTTAAAAATAAAGTTCCCAAAAGGGGGGTTTCACAGCGATGTCAAATAAGAAGAACCAGTTTTGGCTCCCCAAAGAACCTTTCAATGAACGGTTCTTAAAAGAACCATTTTTTTCATTCGTTTTGTGGAATGAAAAGGTTCCATGGATGGTAAAGGTTCTTTGTGGAACCATTGATGCCAACAAAGAAGCTTTATTTTTAAGAGTGTAAGCGGCTACACCAGGATCTTGAAGGCCTATCGATAATACAGAAGGTGTGATTACCTGCGGGGTCCATGAAAGCCCGTATTCCTAAAATGTTGCTGACGGTGTGAACGGAGGGCCAGGCCCGGGACAGGCTGACAGACATGGCCGGAGGACTGCCCAGTTTGGAGCCAGTCGGGGACATGGCGTTCGGGTAGGAGTACGGATACACGGGGTTATAGGAGATCTGCGGCGGAGAGGGTTTGCTGTCGTACTGACTCGGCTGAGACAGGTTCCCAATCTTGTTTCTTAAAATGCGACTGATGGAGCTGACGGACGGGACGTTATATTTGTCACACACCGCGTCGGCCAGCAGTCTGTCGCGTATTTCCCAAGCGAATATTCCAGGATCGCCCAGTTTGTAATCCCGTATGCTTTTCACCACGTTTGGCGTCGTGACCCGGGGTTTACTCCCACCGATAGCACCGGGTAAAATGGAGCCGGTCTCGTTGTACCTGGCCAGAATTTTGCTCACACAGCCATGAGAGACCCGCAGCTGTCGACTTATATCACACGGCCTGATTCCGAGCTGCGCCAGTTCGACGATCCGGATCCGGATCGCGTTGGGAAGAGGCCGGCCGTTGACAAACACCCCGCCGAGCTGATTGACCTCCCCGTACGTCTGATCTGCAACAACCCAGCACTGTATATTCAGCATATTCCATTTCGAACTAATACAGTATACCATCATTTTTAGTATACATTTTTTTTCTTGCACTATTGCGGCTGTTATGTAAATGAAATCTACACTCAAAATAATAATAGGCCTAATATAATAATAATAATAACATTGCTCCACAATATAACAAAGAATCGTTTAATTAGCCTATCTATATTATTATGAACAAATTTACTGAGTGGTTGCTTTAAAATTAAAGGGGTTTTCTGGCGGTTCTTCTTTTAAAAATACAAATTGGGAAATGTTGAACAAAACTAGTGACAAATGCAGACACTTTTTTTTTTTTAAACATCAAGATTTGTTTTTAAGAGTGAAAGCGCATGGCTCGACTATATGATTTGTTGCTCTATAGGCATCAAAAGACACACGATATTTACACCAAATACATCATTCGAACGGTGTAGATGCATCGTTCTCTCTCAAAAATAAACCAAAACGGGTATTTTCGCAACAATATATTAGAACCATTTTTTTTGTTCCCCAAATAACTTTTTAGTGAACAGTTCTTAAAAGAACTTTTGATGTTCTTTTTTCTGTTAAGAACGTCAAAAGAACCTTTTTCAACTATAAAGAAGCTTAGAACGTAAAAATTTCATGGATGTTAAAGATTCTTTATGGAACCATCAATGCCAACAAAGAACCTTTATTTTTAAGAGTGTAGGATATAAATATTTCCTCAGAAAGGTAACAGGTTACAGGGCTGACACTATTACACTTAAATGTAATGCAGTGTTCCTGTAGAGTTCACTGTTGATTTCCAGGAAATGCATGAATGCAGCTGTATATAGAGTAAATAATGCACAAATCTGTACATAAATCTACTGTTCCAGATTCATACACATTATTATTATTTATTGTTGAGTCTTACTATTTAAATGTTTTTCTGTTCTCATGTCAGATGTGTATGTATTTCAAGCATGCATTGCAACACAGAGAATAAAAGAGCAACCTTAAAATGAATAGCATGCGAAAAGCTTAAACAAGAATTGTAAGGAAGCAATTGTTAAAGGAAGTGATTTGCTAAAAATTATTATTCTGTCATCATTTAATGTGCCACATGTGGTTCCAAACCCATATGACTTTAAAGGGGTCATCAGATGCAAAATTCACTTTTACATGTTGTTTGAACTGAAATGTGTGTTAGCAGTGTGTGTACACAATAGAGGTCTGCTACCCGACTCGAGGCCGACGGGTCCCGAAATACTTTCGGGTTTCGGGTCGGGTTCGGGTTAATGTTTAATGAATAGCTTCGGGTTCGGGTCGGGCTCGGGCTCGGGCTCGGGCTCGGGTTTATAGCTAAACTAAAACTATATGTAGTAGCCTAGGCTACGCTGCTTTCATAGACGCACGCACACACAACAACGACAACACAGCACGGAAACTTTTATTAGTAAAATAGCTTCGACAGGCTATTGACTCGCAACTTTATATTTCTCTGCAATGAGGGGGCAAAATCGCTGTTTTTGAAGTAACTAAGCCTCATTGCTTGTAGAGAGAGACGCGCAGACGCAGGTTCACACACACAACTTTCATCCCTCTCTCTCTCTCTCTCTCTCTCGCTAATTCAAATAAATGATATAATTAATTAATTCAAATAAATGCGATCTTACCGCATTGCATCTCTGTGTCTGATTTAAAGCAGGCCGAATGCTAACAAGCCTTAACTGATGAAAATGACCATAATTTGCACGATGGAAGAATAATCGTCTTGCCGTGTACAACCATTCAAAAACTTGGCAGAATTTATGTGACTGCTGCACCTGATGTTCATAAACTTTCATAACTGGTAAGTGTTTTTCCTTTGCCTTGTGAACTGTTTCTTTACATGTATTTGTTTACTGACCGTTGCATGCAATCGTGAAATACAAATTTTTTTTTTTTTAATTGGCTATTCGTTTTGTGGGGGAAAAAAAAGATTTCGGGTCCGGGTCGGGTTCGGGCTTCAGTTTAAAGCCCGTGCAGACCTCTAGTACACAACCACCCTATAATGATAAAAATCCACCAAGTGTTTTTTTTTTTTTAAATCTCGATAAATCCAAACCCCTTTGTCAAATCAAGCATTTCTCAGATTCTTGCAAGTGTGACGTCACACAGGGCAAGGCCAGGCCCCTCCCATGATAGTTGATTGACACTGGCGTTTTACCTTAGACCCATTCTGAGTTTAGTTAGCAAGTTTCACAATGAATGCGGCTAAAGTTTACAGTCTCTCAGAGAACTGCGTGTCACCCCACATAAGAGAGGGGTGGGGTGAGCAGGGCTCATTAGCATTTAAAGGGAAATGTACCAAAATGGCTCGCTGTAAACAGAGCTGTTTTTGACAGGTTAAAAGGGTGTTATTTTACACTACATTGAGAATTTTTAGCCAAAGTTTGTTATAGACTTTTCATTAAAGAATCATATCAACTTGTGGAAAATGGGCATCCGATGACCCCTTTAAGTATCATGAAAATATGTTCATACAACTTGACTGTTGCATTTTTTAAAGTCCTATGATGCCTTGCATGAAGAAATAAATATACGCGAAACAAATTTGGATCAGTTAACTAAAGAATCAGTGTTTATTTATATTATTGTTCCGGCCAATGATCAAGACAGCAATGCAAAACTAATTGACTAAATGAACTCGGCCTAAATTCACTTAAAAAAATAGATTATGTAAAGCAGAAATCAGGCCTTTAAGCAAAAGAAAAAAAAATTATATTAATGTGAAGAAAATTAATATATATATAAAAAAAAGGAAGGTAAAAGGTTCTTTATGGAAAAATAAATGCCAACAATTAACCATTATTTTTAAGAGTGTAGGATATAATTTGCCCTCAGAAAGGTAACAAAGTTTATAGCTAACAGGGTTAGTATTACACTTAAATTTAATGTAAAGTTCCTGTAGAGCAGGGATTCTCAAACCTCTCCATGAAGGACCCCCAGCACTGCACTCCCTCTATCTGACACACCCTCTTCAGGTCTTGCAGTCTCCACTAATGAGCTGATGAGTTGAATCAAGTGTGATAGATGAGGGAGACATACAAAATGTGCAGAGCTGGGGGCACTCCAGGACAGATTTGAGAACCACTGCTGTGGAGTTCACTGTTCATTCCCAGGTTTGCTTTGGCAAATAAGACATACACGGCCCATTAATTTACTCTTTATAGAACACTTACGATCACGCTGTTGGTCTGAATATTAGTCGTGTAATCACCCGTGTTACAATCTCTTTTTGAATTGCAACAAAATAAGGGAGTCATCACACAAATAAATTACTTAATAATTAGCTGCGGCTAATTAAAGTGAATTTATTTGTCCATGGAAGACAGAACATAGAATGCAAATATGCAATAAGTGTGTAGCAATCATGAAAGACAGCAATCCAACCAAACACAGTCCAAGGACCCTCTAAGAACAGCAACCGTCCCCAAAGGAGATGGATCAAAGGCGGCGGTGATCTCTCGTATCTCTCCCATCTCATCAGTTCTCCAGTAGCCTCATGAGTAACCCAAAGTACAGCGCAAACAAAGACAGCCCAAGCTCAGCCCACACTCACATCTCTCTCGCCAGCTCTGTCCCAGTCTTTTATAGAGCGCCATTATTACATGCAGGTGTGCAACCACTCCCCTCAGCCAATCACCTGCAACTCAGAAATATCCGGTGACTTACAGGCACATCACACCTGCCATGCTTATATTCAGTGATATTACTTAAATTATTTACTGCATGTAATTTTTTTTGCATTGAAATATCAGTTTCAAAATCAGTCTAGAATGCACTGATTTCTACAAAGCCTCTCCTTTCCAAAAATCCCAGAGGGCTCTGATTGGCCAGCTGACCCAGTGCGTTGTGATTGGCCGAACACTCAAGTGTGTGTTGGAAATGTGATGCCTCTTACTGTAAGTTGCAAAAAAGTTTAATAAATAAAAATCAAGGGATATTTATATATGTATGTTCCTGGAAGAAAACGCTCCGGTTACTGACGTAACCTCGGTTCCTTGAGATAAGGGAACGAGCATTGTGTATGGAGAACACTCATGTTTTACTCTGTACTGAAGCCTGATTTGTTCACATTTGTGTAGCTGCACAAACCAATGGTGCTTTAGTCTGCCAGAAAGGGTGGAGCCGACGTGTATATAAGTCGGCTCGCAGTGACATTCAACAGACCATTAAACTGAAGCGACAGTCATTTATTCGCACAGCTTATAGCGCGGCAAGTGACACAATGCTCATTCCCTTATCTCAGGGAACCGAGGTTACGTCAGTAACCGGAGCGTTCCCTTTCGAACGTTCACTTCACGTTGTGTATGGGGAACGCCGTGCTGTGAGCAGATACAGGATCTCCTGCTCTGTGAGCCCAGTCTCGGAGCACTAATAAGGACCCCCAAAAAACCTGAGCACATTGCGCCCCAAGCTGGTAGCTGAGGGCTCTAATATAACCACTTCGCCCGAAGGGAAGAGTGGAACATTAAACAGACAAAACTCGCGCCTGCAAAGCAGGGATGTCTATGTTATAAAATCTGGCAAATGTGGACGGCGACGACCAGCCGGCAGCTGCACAGATCTCACCAATAGATATTCTGCTGGACCACACCCAGGAGGAGGCCATCTCTCTTGTGGAATGGGCCCTCACACCTATAGGGCATTGCAATCCTTCTGATGCGTAAGCTAGGGCTATCGCATCAACAATCCAGCGAGAAAGTCATTGCTTTGTGGCCGGCAGCCCTTTATGGCGGCCTCCAAAGCAAACTAATAACTGCTCCGACTGCCTAAACAGGCTAGAGCTCTCCAGGTATACTCTCAGAGCCCTCACTGGGCAGAACATGTTTGGGCCTTGCTCACAATCTGTAACAGGGAGCGCCGATAGGGAGATCACCTGAGCTCTGAATGGAGTTGAGAGCACCTTAGGAACATAACCATGTCTCGGTTTTAGAACGACCTTACAGTCATTAGGCCCAAACTCAAGACACGAGGCGCTGATTGACAGCGCCTGCAAATCGCCCACTCGTTTAACCGACGCCAAAGCCAGGAGGAGCGCCGTTTTATGCAATAAGGGCCATAGATTGGCCGAGTTGAGCGGCTCAAAGGGGGGTCCTTTTAGGGCCCGCAGGACTATAGACAAGTCCCAAGATGGCACAGTCTGAGGGCGAGGAGGATTCAGCCTCCGTGCACCCTTCAGGAAATTAACGATCAGGTCGTTCCTGCCGATTGAATGGCCAGGTTCGCTGGTTCGCTGCGATAGCTGCCACATATACTTTGAGCATGGAGGTGGCTCGCCCCCTATCCAGCAGCTCTTGCAAAAAGGTCAGCACGTGGGACACATCACATGATATCGGGTCCAAACCCCGTGCAGAACACCAGATAAGGAAGACCGACCATTTTTGGCTGTAAAGCCATCTTGTAGACGCCAAGCCTGGTTCCTCCAGAGTGGGGCCACTAGGAGGAGAGTGCACTTAGTCTCCCTGACCCGCCTGACGACCTGAGGAATCAGGGCGATCGGGGGAAAAGCGTATAGGTGAGCACTTTGCCAATCGTGGGCCAGAGCATCTCGCTGTATCGAAAAATATGTTGGGCAGTGAGAGTTGTCTTCTGAAGCAAAGAGGTCGACCTCTGCCCTCCCGAAGACTGACCAGATCTCTTGAACCATTGAGTTGGAAGCGTCCGTTGTGACTACCTTCATTACAGCTTCATTTGCTATATTGTATGTGGGTCCACTATCACAGCGGTAAAACATTCGGGTACGCACTGCACCTGCAGGACGTGACTTACTGGAAACGAAACTCCATTGCTCAGAGGTGCTCGGAGGGATAGAGAATGAAAGCTAGCTGTTTTGCGGGGCATTCCGGCCGAAGTGAGAACAGAGCCCCTCCTCCTCCTCTCTAGCGCATCAGGATGGCTTAGGTGGCTCGGGGTCCAGCACAACTCATGGGCGGGGACCTTGACGCTTCGGAAAGGGGAAGCGTTTCGCCGTCCGGGAGCATTGCTGCAGCCCAGGCTCAGATTTGCGTTGGGGCTGAGGCTGCGCCGGCTTTGTAGGCTGAGTGGCAGGGTTCTTCTGGCGGCTCGCAGCCGCGGGGCCAGAGCGCTTGGGGAGGAAGTGACACAGCGCCTGCGACGTCTTCTGAGCCTCCGAAAACCTCTCTGCAAACCTGTCCACAGCGGGGCCGAACAGACCCTTCGGCGAGACCGGTGAGTCGAGGAAGGCCATTTTCTTAGCGTCCCTGATCTCAGTGAGGTTCAACCATAGGTGGCGCTCCAGCACCACCAAACTGGCCATGGTCTTGCTGATCACCTGCGCCGTTGCTTTCGTGGCGGCAGAGCCAGAACTGTTGCGGTGCGCAGCTCTTTGAAAGAGGACGCGGGGAGGGCAGGGCACGTGGGGGCTGAGGCGACGTGACACCGCTCAAGCCCGCTGAGAAGGACCCGCTGCCCCGCTGTTTCTTTCTCTTAGGAGAGAAAGGAAACGGGAGGGCTGAGCAAGGGGGACCGCCTTCATGTAAAAAGGCGATCCGCGAGCGGAGACGGGAAAGACTAATACTCTCTCTATGGGAGCATGAGCCTTCAGTGAGCGTAGCCTCTGCGTGGCGCTGCCGAGACAGGCGACGCACTCACTGTACCCGTCCGTCACACACTCGGGGCGCGACATTTGAAACAACGCACGCTGAGAAATTTGCTCTTTAGGAATTGCTCTTGCTTGCTCTTCAAGCGCCGGATGGCCGCTGTGAATCCTCGCTGCTTCAGGCGTCTTCGACGGCGGCGAGCAAAGCTGGAGCTTCTTCTTCCTCGGCTTCTTGGCTTCTTCCAGAGTCAGCGAAGAGATAATCCTCGTCACTGAAGGAGAATGATCTGATGAATGGCGCTGCAAGCCGGCTTATATACAGGTCGGCTCCACCCCTTCTGGCGGGCTAAAGCGCCATTGGTTTGTGCAGCTACACAAACGTGAACAAACCAGGCTTCAGTACAGAGTAAAACAGGAGTTTTCTCCATACACACAATGTGAAGTGAACGTTAGAAAGGGAACTGGAGGTGGTAGACTAGAGTTTTTGCTTCAAAATTATGTGAAAATCATCCTGTTCACTCTTTCACAGAAAACAATATATTGATTTAACTTTTGTAAGACATGATTTGTTTTAGAAAGGTGTATGCGAGGGACGTTTTTAACAAAAAATCCGAGTCCATAATCCATAATAACGCTTCCTCCAGTGAAAAAGTGCATCTCCTGTTGTCTCTCACATCAAAATCCAGCCACATATTTGTTTAGA